ATTAATTCATATACTTGTATATAGAACTTCTAGGTATAACAAAGGAATAGTAGCCATGTATTCCTACATACTAGTACGGATATCTATAATGTACCTAAAATAATGTATTAGTTGACGGGTGTATATCAATTCATGCTCGTGTTTCCACTAAATCTATGCCCTATTCTTCAGACCAAAAACCCTACATTTTGAGTACACGACCCCAATTATATTCTGAGGAGCGAGTGGAAGTCACTGGAAGAGATGTTAAAAAAGAAGACACAGGATGACTTCCTCTGAGTCCTCATAGGACGACAATTTTTTATGGAAAAATTATTCTACCTCCTTCTTGTCTACATTTTCCGATATACTTCGGTACTTCATTCCTTATTTTGAGAGAAAACGTACTTTAGAAGCTCTCTGCAACTTTATAGCTCCAATTTATATCCAGGTCAATAAAAACTGAATTTTGAAGTTTTATAAATATTGTCTGATTGCACATCTAATTTTGGTTTAAAATATGCGATATAGGATTGGGAAACAGATGTTCACCAATCATCTATATCTTTTAGAATCGCTTACGGTTATGCATTGTTTACGCTATCATACGGTTTCTATTGTGTGTAATAAGGTATATCCAGACTCAAAAATATATATTTTTTAACATTATTCTATATGTATTTTGATAAATATTGTCCAGACTGTCGCGGCTGTGGTGTGTAACAAATCACCAAACTTCCAATATACCAAACGCTACACTTACGATACTGCATATGCACTTACAGTGCGTGTCGTCGTTATAAGTCTTACCAATAGTTCTCGTAGCACGAACGCTCACACATGCACACATAATTAGTACTACAAAAATACGTACAAAATACACACCTTGACGTATTACTATAGCTGGGCACTGTAACGAGCGTGTAGTCTCTGCCGAGGGGCAACGACTTGACAGCACACTTTTGTGCCGTGCATGTCTACAACCCATGGGTGAATACTGTAGCGCAGGCACTCATATAGAGAATCTCGGAGTGAGTTAGGGAAGTGAGGATAGTAACCACCAACCAAGAGGTGTTCAGTATCGAGGATAGAGCAGTCAGGAGTGACCACAGTCCCTGATGGCTCTCTCGCATTGATTCACGTACGCACTTGAATCATACGTAAGTGGTGTTGTTGGGGTTCATCGCACGCATAATTGTTTTTTAATTATACGCGTAATACACATTATATATGGTAATTTTGAAAGATCTGCTTGGATATCCTTCAACGCTATACACTATTGCTTAAAAGTGGGAGGTGTATATTGCAGATATTTAATACAACCTACGTTTAAAGTGAGAGGGGTGCATACAGCAGATATTTAAAACAACATAAACAGTTAGGGCGAGTATATCTGATTTGTAGCCCTTATCAGCCTGGGACTAATCACTCATCTTCCTTCCGTATAAGGCTATCGCATATCTTGACAACCTGTGTGTCGTTGTTTGCTATTAGCTGATGGAGCGCTGCAAAGCAATTGCTTGTAGCGGTGGCCTAATGAAAGTCTATTTTACGCATATCGGTAATCTGCACTCATGCTATTTTACTGCGGTACGTTTATAGTCCAGTGTGCGTCGTTGTGTGCACCTACGATGTCATTTAAGAGTATATCTATTATGTGTGCCTATTCCTATAGACAATTATACGTAGGTTGGCAATTGCTCTTAGTCTCCATTGACCAAGTTATTGTGTTCAATAATGTAAATCTAAGAAAATGGTCGATATAATCTTAAGTCATTGTGAACAATATTGTAAATATAAGTTAAGCTTTGATATATACTCGCACTATACATGCACAGCTATTCTGTTCGGCACCACGCGAGCTTCTGGGCCTATAAGCGAGCTGACTAGAGCTCGTTAGATGGTTTGCAGCCATGGGAAGCTGTCAAAGCTGCCTAGGCTACCCTAGTCCAGAGGATAAAGATGCGAAGGAACGTAACGCAGTGATTGAGAGAGGCCTCAAAAAAGAGAAACATGACAGTAGTCAGGAGATTAAGCTCTTGTTGTTGGGTATGTTATGTATATGCGCTTTGAGGTTATTAGAGTGCGCTGGTAGCGTGTATTGTATTTGATGAGTTCTCGCAGGGGTCATATTGAATATAATTACAACGCCTGTGGTCACCCTTTCTCCAAAATTACTTTCGAATATGAAAATCAAGATAGCTGAAAGTAAGGATTCGTTTGATAACTACATTCGATTTGTGCATTGCGGGGTTGCTGATCAGCCTAGATGGCATGATTTGTTGCGATAATATTTGACTGTATATCGCGGGCTTGCTGATGCCGCCTGTGTGGCGTATTATCGTTGCGACTAATTGATTATGTATTGCGTGCTTGCTGATGCAGCCTGGGTGTGCTGATGCCGCCTGTGTGGCTTATTATCGTTGCGACTAATTGATTATGTATCGCGTGCTTGCTGATGCAGCCTGGGTGTGGTGATGCAGCCTAGGTGGCTTATTTTTGTTGCGACTATTATCGATTGTTTATTGCGTGCTTGCTGATGCAGCCTGGGTGGCTTATTTTGTTGCGAATATATTCGATTGTGTATTGCGGACATATTAAGACAACCTAGGTGACTTATTTTTGTTGCGAGTGTAATCGATTGTGTATTGCATGCTTGGTGATGCAGCCTGGTTGGCTTATTTTAATTGTAACTATATTCAATGTGTATTGCGGGCATGTTGAGACAGTCTAGGTGGCTTATTTTTGTTCCGACTATATTCAATTGTCCGTCGCAGACGTGCTGATGCAGCCTATGTGGCTTGTTTTTGTTGCGACTTTATTCGACTGCGTATTGCGGGCATGTTGAGTCAGCCTGGAGGGCTGTTTTTTGTTGCGACTGTATATATTGCGGGTGTGTTGAGACAGTCTAGGTGGCTTATTCTCGTTGCGACTCTATTCGATGTGTATTAAGGACTTGCTGGTGCAGCCTTGGTAGATTGTTTTTGTTGCGGCTCTATTCGTTGTGTATTGCGGGAATATTGAGACAGCCTAGGTGGCTTATTTTCGACGCGACTTCATTCATTACTTGCTGATGCAGCCTGGGTGACTTATTTTTGTTGCGAGTGTAATTGTTTGTGTATTACATGCTTGGTGATGCTTTGGCTGAGGCAGCCTAGGTGACATATTTCTGTGGTGCATTGTTGTGAGCTTTCTGTCGTGAGCTTAGATTAAGAGTTCTATACTAGTAGAATAATTCAGATCGTGCGGTTCGAGCAAGAGTGCCGTCAACCTGTAGTGGTTTGCGTGGACCTTTATGCTATAAACATAGGAGCATTTCAGTACATATATTGTTGTGTCTGGCGGGTGCTTTCAAGGTGCGATACCGTTCTTTGATAGGTAAATCACACTCTCCATTGACGTCTATACGTTAGCGGTCAAATCGAAATAAGATTTCATAGTAGTTTGAGATTCAAATACGGATTAGACTTTCGATTGTATCGATTTCGAGGAGATTGTCTTTGTGAAGTAAGTGCTTCTACCGTTCGCGCGCTTCACATTCGGACTACAGTATAGTGCATTGATTAGTATACGGAATGACTATATTGTTTTACAGTGATTTTTAGGTTGCCAGGCTTGGACCTGTCGTGCGTTATTTAACCAAAAAGTGCTCTGTTAAAAGTGATGATGAGTTGGGTTAGTGGGTTAGTAGATTGGTAGTTGAGCCTAGTCAGTGCTACGCCTACCACTTATGGATACCTATGTTAAATTTCACTGCCATGGTCAGCGCGAAGCACCTCAGGGCAGATGTGACCATTTCATGTCTAGTGTGTTTGACGATGGATGCAAACATAGCTGTTTCACATAGACCAAGTCGTTGAAAAGCTGAATTTAAGTTGTGATATCATCTGAGGATGAGCTGTGAAGTATCTTTGTATCGTTTCTATAGACAAAGTGAAAGTTTCCGACTGATTTGTGTGTTTCGTTTCCAACTGAAGCGTGCATTCGTGCCCCCCGCATCACATGTTTAGGCCATAGTGCAAGGTTTCTGGAAGTCAGGAACACCGTGTCATTAGGTGAACTGACAATGGGGAGGAGGTTGCATGTGCTCTCCTGGGGTAATTGTGGGGGTTTTGGTTTTGAGCAGTTCGGATGACTGACGGATGACTTGAGGCCCAATACTGGACTTGAATTGAATGCATCTCACACACTCGCACTTGCACCTGTTGCCGGTTACAGGGGCGGGAGAGTCGGGCAAGAGCACGATTGTAAAGCAAATGAAAATCATTCATGGTGGTGGATACTCAATAGAAGAGAAACTGGAAGTCGTTCCCATCATTGCTATGAATATATTGCGATCGATGCAGGCCTTAGTGGTCGCTACGGATAATTTGGGGATAGAACTGGAGGAGGACATACAGGTATGTCAATAGGAACTTATCTGCGTAAACGTGTTGGCTTGTGTCTAAGTGACGCTGTCGACAGTATACTTACAGCAAGCCTTAGGTTTGTGATAAGTGTCCGCATTGATGAATTGAGGCCCCCATGGGTGCTGTGCTGCCAGTTCTTGTTACATACTTTCAGTTGAAACGCGAGTCTGGTGTCATTGTGACATACTATGGCGCTGAGCTCAGTATCGACGGTATATATCTAGCTTGGCTGCTTGGTTGTAATTGACATAGTTGGTTTTGCGTTCGATTTGTTGCACTCGATTCGTTGCTCTATAGTCGCTCTAGGGGGAGCGGGCCTAAAATATGGCGATATGGTCGGATTGGGGGAATTTGGTGTGGCATATGCAGGACAATATGAATCGAGCTATTGCAAATTAGGTATTCGCAATCTGTATCGGGCTAATGCATGTGTACGTCTATTATTGTAGTTCATCTAATAATATGTTGGGCAATTATTGTGCGAGGTTTTACGCTTCTAATAGGCGCTAAGCAGGCCCCCGGGGTGTATAAGCTATAGTCCGTTTCAAGAATTTGGTTAATATGTAGCTGTACAGTTCTGGTTTATATGCATCTCGCACCACATCACGTTCGCAGTCATCGGCGCTCATGCGTGTCATCTTATACTTTTACCTTAAACCAGCCGCACGCGGATTATATAAAGAAGTGCGAGAAACAGGTCAACGATTTGTATTGCCTGGGCCCAGAATTTCTAAACTCAGTAAATGCCCTGTGGAAGGCGGAAAGCATCCAAAAAGCATACCAAAAACGAAATAGGTTTCAACTGAACGATTCAGCGAAATAGTAAGTCATGTTTATTTATGTTCGTTCCGTATTTTCATTTATCGTTTCATCCTGGATGCATTTTGAGTTCATTGGAATTCGAGATTGGGCTTTATTTACCCCGGCCGGCAGAGTTAGACTATGTGCTTTGTTTGTAAAGTGCGACCCGTTCTATGATCGACGTCTCTATTTTGGTATAATTTGAATACGGTGTATGATACTGCTGTGAGAAGCAAAGCAAGGTTGCAAGTTCTATCTGGTTTATGTTCATATCCCATCTGTGTGCACCTGTTAGTATGTTCATTTTTTGTGTGCGTCGACATCTGATAGCGCTCACAACTGTCGATTCATTAGCGTGCATCGACTTAGAAACACACTCTTCTCTCTCGCTACTGTGCTGCCATGCTTCTCCGTCATGTGTTCGGCTGTTTGCATTCATCATGCTATCGAGGCGGTCACGCTTTATTAATACTGTCATGTTATATTTGACAGTTACTTTGAAGGGGCCGATCGCATATGTCAATCCGACTACGTGCCCACGGAACAAGACGTGCTAAGGTCGCGTGCGCCGACAACCGGTATTATAGATATAACGTTCCAAACGAGAGACGTAAATTTTAGGATGGTCGATGTTGGAGGCCAAAGGTCAGAAAGAAGGAAGTGGATCCATTGCTTTACGGATGTCACGTCGATGATTTTCATTGTGGCGCTCAGTGAGTATGATCAAGTATTATTTGAAGATAACAATCAGGTTAGTTTCGGTTTATATTTTCATGTTTTGTGTGTACGTCATGTGTTGTGTGTACCTACTTTTGTAGCTTACCAGCGTAAGTTTGTTGCAGTATTGGGGTTTCTGCGCACGGCTTTTCGCTAGTAGAGGGACGATTTGTAATTTCTTCGCATATTTGTAATTTCTTCGCATAGAACTTGCGCATATGTCTATGCTGAGAACTATATAATCGAGTATTCTATCGTACTGAAATATCCATTGTCTGAATTATTCGTACTGAGATATGAATCTGATTTGATTTTTTAAATCAGGTTAGTTTTGGTTTACATTTTTATCTTTTGTGTGTATGTGCTTTTGTATTATATCAGCGTATTGAGGTTTCTGCGCAGGGTTTTCTCTAGAGGAGAGATCACTCAGGGTTCCTCGCACAGAGCGCTTGCTCACGTTTACGCTGCGAACTGTATACTCGAGTATTTACCCGTGATGGGATATCTATTCACGATTTTGTTAGCACTGAGATGTGGATCTGATTCGAATTATATATGATCTCGAACAATGCGCTGTTTGACATTGCAAAAGGTGCTCTCGATCAAACAATATTTCTATATTCTTATTCTCATTTTTCATCATTTTTTTTTTTGCAACCCGGCCCCTACAGAGTCGAATGCGAGAGAGTGTGGCTCTGTTCGATAACATTGTGAACTACGAGTGGTTCGTGGATACGTCTATGATCCTATTTTTGAACAAAACAGATCTGTTCGAGGAGAAGATATATCTGTCGAATTTCGCCGACTATTTTCCCGAATACGAAGGGCACGACGACGACTCAGATGCGATCAAAATATTTATTCTGAATACCTTTTTTCAGCTTAACCGACAGGCCAACAAAACAATCTATTCGCATTTCACCTGCGCCACAGACACAAAGAACATCGAATTTGTGTTTGCGGCGGTGCGAGACACCATCTTGCAGAACAACCTAAAGAACTACAATCTCATATAAAGGGCTGCATGCCAATATAGGGGGGTTAAGGTTCTAGTACGTTGTATAGATGTCGGACTCGCGGCCCTGAAGATAAATTATTAAAAGAAGGCAGTACTAGAAATAGCAAACTGACTAACATGGTACGTGACAATCGTTCATTCCAGCACAGTTCAGCACAACACAGGCTTTGCGCAATGGCAAGGAATTTCGGTGTAGTATGGGCGGAAAAAGCAGGCTTTATGTCTGCGTATTCATCAGAACGATCTCGCTTTTGAATGGTTTTCTTATATCGGATAAACGGCAATCATCAGAAGTCAGTTTTATTGATGTTACGTTATTCGGGTCGTGGGGCTCTTCAATGTGGATAACAGTAGCTCAAGAACTCTGCGCTACATTCATTACTAGCTGTTGAAGTGTTCGGAAGAAGGACTAGGTGTGAAGTATGTGCTGTGTGATATTTACCAATGTATAGGAGCACCCCTGTATATTTTCGCCCCAGTTGAATGGCGCTGCCAAAGTAGCTTGCAAGGTTGGGATACGCCATATTGCTACAGAGCGGGGTTGATATATTTTTTAAATAGGTATTTGTTTAATTTGACATCGTAGCATAAGTAGATTTCCAAGCAATCCGAGTGTACTATGTAATTTTATAATCGATATTGTTGGCTACACAAGGCAGTAGTACTGCAAGTGCATGCATGTTTGTCTGTTGTCTGTTTGTCGCTTGATGGTAGCAGAATTTGGCATGCTAAGGAATAGAGATTTTGTTTTAAAAAGAATAACCGCCCGGCATATGCTACTATCAATGAGAGATTACTTGCGTCCAACATCTAGCCGGCATACTTTGCTAGACCATAATATGACTGCAGTCTGTTACTGACATATTTCTCGTATGCAGTGCAAGGAGCGCTCAAGAGATCCAAATGAGCTGTGTTGTTTAGTTGCAGCGGTATGTTATCGCCTTTTGCGTATTCGCTTGAGTGTACTAATTGCGGAGATAAATCCCACAGAGGATAGCTGTCGAGGTCGGATACTTTTAATCTTTTGGCTTAATCTTTTACTTCTGGGTTATATGGTGTCACGGCATCTTGCTTCGCCTGTTTCTGTTTGAGGTCATGGACAATTTGTTGAGCTGCTAGCCTCTCCTTACGGAAGTTATATCGACAATATTCCCTGCAAAGATAGTAATAGTTGAGCTCATCAATAACAAGCGGAAATTATAAACACATCAAGCTGTAGGCAACCAGGGAAGATATACACTGAATCAGTGTACCGGAGTCGTGATCGCTCACGCAACTACCACGACACACAAGACATCGAGGTTTAGGCCGATTGCAAAACAGAGAATGAACGTCGAACTCAAATTTATATACACCTGAAGGATACCAATGATTCGATAACTGTATAGCAAAGAAGACAGGTATTTAGAAAAACAATCGAGATTCTTAATAAATTTACAGTGCGATGCAACATACCATGAGGCCATAGAGCCTAGCACCCAAGCACCAAACGCCATGTTACATGAGCTCAGCACTTTCCCTGAAACAAGCAAATGAATAGAAATGTGGATGGGAAATCAGCTATATAACAGAAGACAGCGAAATAATTCGAGAATAGTTTTGCTACGAGTGCCAGGGTATAAAAGATTCGTATTGTAGCATTATTATAAATATCAATTATACATGCACGTATGTTTATTTGCTCATAAATTATATACACACTTAAAAATCTCTTATCTACAAAAATATACATATGCAAGACATTACATACATAAACACACACACACACACGCATATATATATA